CTACCTCTTTCCTGAAGCATATACTGCTTACTGGTGTGGAAACTAGATATCGTACAGGTAGACTTTGGTCTGCCCTTGTGCTGAAGTTAGTATGTTCTGTGGAGGAAACGAGTTGTGAAATATGTTGGTACCTAAGAGTGGAAGTGTCCTACAAACTAAATACACATACAGGTACAGATCCACCTTGCTCATTTTCTTTGAAATGCTTTGAACCCCATGTGAAGTTCCAGTTAGATGAGATGGAACCCTGATTACAACCGGCAGCACAAAAGAAGGTGCAAGAAGAGAATTTATTAGGCACTAGGAGGTACTTTGAGAAAGGAATAGTCTAGATAAAGGAGATGAGCTCTGTCTTGAAGTAAATATAGGCTATTGTGACTTGAAATAAGGAGGATCTAATTCTTTAAACCTAAAGGTGTAGTGAGGCTAGCAGGACAGAGAAGCAAATAAATCAGATGATTCTGATATATAATATTATAACAGCTATTGTGTCCAGTATGGGTATCTTGAAAACTACAGCTGGACCAGAAGGGAAGCAGGATAAGAACATAGATAAGAATTCTGAAAAAATCAACGGTCTTGCAGATGAAGGAACTGAATTTTTAAAAAGCTGTCAAGAAAAAATAAATGTTGCATGCTCTCTCTCTCTCTCTCTCTCTCTCAATATAGATATACTTTATAGATATGCAAGAAGTTTAAAAGCTAAAACTAGTGAACTCTAGAGTGTCTTACAGTTGATGAAGGTCTTGATGTAACAAGCATTGCAGAGACCTGGTTGGATAATAAAAAACAACAGAGAGAATTGAAGCATTACTTAAAAATTATACTTTCAGACTTCTAGGTGTGTGTATGCACACAAACAGATTAAACTGTCTCCGTGTGTGCCTTAGAGAAACAGTATGACACTGTTTCACAAAGTGTTACTTTCTAGAATATACAAGCAAGAAAAAGTATTTTTGCTTGAGGAATTTGAATGACAAATTTAGTTCACTTAATCCAGAATTGCAGCTCTTAGCTGGTTTTGGAAGATGCCTAAATTCAGTAGGCACTTCCTTGTTTAACCTGAAAATTTTCTGAAGTACTGTAAGTTGTCTTTCTATGTTTCTCAGAGCTGTACTGGTATGAGCAAAGAGATGTCTACTACATGATGAAATAAGGGGGGAAAAAAAAACCCCAAACCCCACAGGTACTGCAATAGAGCATCTCTGTCTCCAGAGCAGCCCCGTTCAAGTATTCAAGGTTTAAACACTCCTACAAAACAGTGACTGGATCAGACTTCTCAGAAAATGCTGTTGCAGCATGTTCACTTCCTTTTGTGCAGAAAGAAATTGAGTAGTAGTTGGATAAAACACAGAATACCCTGGGGCTGTAGGGTCTCCAACTGAGAATTCTCCCATACTAAACAAAGAGAATCAGATCCTAGCTTGTTCTTATCTACCAGTAATTTTATTTATTTATTTACTTACAACTTCTGGAAGAGGAATGCAAAGTGTTTCTGTCTGCGATAGTGTGTAGCACATTCAGGGCATTCTTTTGAAGACAGGTTTGAAACCCCTTCCAGCTGTGGAAGCCATTGAATCATTGAAACCACTTTTTGCTCTGTGCCACCAAATTATACCTCCTGGTGCTTTTTTGAGGACGTCAGTGAATGAGGCTCAGGTTTTTTTGAAAGGACTGTTCAGGTATATATTTACAAGAGAAAACTCTGGCTATGGATTTGGAAAGCTAAATGGTAGGTATAAAAGTTTGTTGAAGAAAAGCAGCCAGTAAAGAGACATGTGAATTATCGAGGCATTAAGAAGGAAAAATTGAGTTAAAAGAGTTGATACCAAATTAATTGGTATAAATTTCCCAGCAGTATGAATCAGTTATGTGCTTTCTGTACTTTGAGCATTGTAACAGTGTTTCTTGGTAACTTAAAAGGCACACTCGGTGACTGTGGGACAGAGGAGTTATGTATTGATCTGATAATCTAAAAATGCATTCAGTTACTGGGCTGTGATGGTAAAAAGCCAAGATTTTTCATAAAGCTCTAAAACTTGTGAATTTTTAGATAGAACCATGTACTATTACGGAGATCTAGCATATAGATAATTTTGCACCCATAAAGGTAACTTGGAGAATTATGGAACTATAAACTGCTTGTATTCCTTAATGGGTTCTAAATTAACAAAGGAAAAGATACTGTGTAATGGTGTGATTAGCAGGATGGACGCTTTCATTCAGTGAGTAGCTGTGGGCAAAAACAGATAGCAATGTGATAGGAAGCATAATCACTGTAGAGGAGTGAGCAAGTGTGTGTGTGTGTGTGCATAATAAAGGTGTATTTTTTTAATGTTGTTTACCTAGAATGGCTGCTGTAATTATGACAACTCCATAACACAGAGTAAAACAAAGTAATCATGAAAGCCTGGAGAACCTCTGCTTCCTAACACCCTTCTCTCTCTCCCCTCTTCCCCCGCCCCTTAAAGACAGACTTGTAAATGACATGATGCTTTACCTTAGAAAAGAGGTGAGGAGAAATGAATGCAAAGTTTACAAAATATAAATGGTAAAAGGAAAAGTATTTTAGAAGATTAAGTCCTTGTCTCGTACAGGAGTGTGTTACACCATGAAATTAAAAAATCAGGAATCAATTACAAATGCTTGATTTTTCTGCAGAGTATTTTATTAGTGTGTTATTGCTTGCCATAGTAAGTTGTTAAGCCCAAATTGTGAAGATGGTTTTTAAAAACAGAAATTCTGTGGGTACCGAACCCCAGAATTGGTATTTTTGATGATTTAAAAAAAGATGCAAATAACAGTCTTGTAGAGATCAGGAAGAGAATAATTTTGGGTAGATTACTCCACAAATGCCTGCAGTCAGGTTCGTGTTATCCTACAATGTGCTTTCCTCTGACTCATATTAAATGGAATAGTGGACTCAGTAGACAACTGGTATTTTGTGTTTCGGTAGTCTTATATCACGGTAATGGTTAACATGTTACTTTTTCGGCACTTAAGATTTCTGTTCCTACTTTTGGTTTCTGAATTTGTAATTATGACTGGCTCTGTTTTGCTCTATAGTATATACACTTGGTTTTGAATATTTTTTTTTCCTCCCCTTCTAAGGATTATGTACTGAAGGCCTGTACCGTGTTAGTGGGAATAAAACAGATCAAGACAACATTCAGAAACAGTTTGATCAAGGTAATGACAGATTTTATTATTTAAAGCCAAAAGAGAAGTTGAATTCTCCATGGATTTATCACAGTGCAACATAAAGGGTTGCACTTCCAAACTGACTTCCATAGCACTGAGTACTTAATGCTCTGGTATGTTGTATTGGTACAGTCCAGGTTATTACCAATGAAGCTATGTATAAACCAAAGATGGGATAGAATCTTGTTACAGCTGGTTTTAAGTGCTGTTAAAATAATTTCTAGGTGGTATTCTATTGTTTGAAAGAGTTTAAATGCAGTCTTAGCTGCTCCTTGTGTTAATAGTTTATCAATCCTAGTCATTAAGGCATTCACTTCCCCTCCTTATCCCCCCAAAATGTAGTATTTCTTGATGCTTATTTTATTGAAAGCTCTCTTGAATAATATGGAATAACAACTAAGTCTTGATAACAAATTTCTAACACAACCTTTCTCATGCTGGAATATACTGGAATATGATGGTTAGATTATGCTGTTCATTTTGATGTGTTAAAAGAGAGGGTCAGCATTTTTTTTTCCTTTTAATTTATGATCTCAGTTCATATTTCAAAATAAAAACACTTCTTAAAAGTTCTTGGTTATTAACCATGAAGCTGAGCCTGTGAAATATAGTAAAATCCCTCCTAGATGATAAGGAAAGTAAATATACTAGGTTTTTTTATGCTTTGCTATGCTGTTTCAGATAATCAGAGTATAACACTAGATTTGTCCATGTGTGGTCACTGGTATGTTTTGTTGTCCTTCTTTAAAAGGTTTCATGTGGTCACATGAACACAATCACATGAATTCTGCAAATTTTGAAAAAAAATTTGGGAAATAGAATTTAAAACTTATTATTGGCCAAAACTGATTAATCAGAAGCCAGTCAGTGGAGTCTGCATGGAGAATTAGACACCTTTATTTTTCTGATCTCCTATTGTTTTCTTATACTGTCAGATTTTCTTATATTTGATTTCTTGTGCATCAGAGCTTATCCATAGGTTCACCTTTTAGTGCATTTTTTAACGAATGTTTGGCAACACTTTCATTTTCAGTGTTTTGAAAAAATTCTTGTTTTCATAAAAAATTATGAGGAATGATAGCTGTAGGTTTTACTTACACTGCTGTTTAATTTTGTTTTACAGATCATAATATCAGTCTAGAGTCTATGGGAGTAACAGTAAATGCAGTGGCTGGGGCTCTTAAAGCTTTTTTTGCAGATCTGCCAGATCCATTAATTCCTTACTCTCTGCATCAAGAGTTGTTAGAAACATCAAGTAAGTAATAAACAATCTTGTCTTGATCTAATTGCGTTATATTGATTGCCCTTATTGCAATTTTTACTTCACTGTAAGTTGAAAGAAGTAGCTGCACTGAAATATTTTTTAAATTGCTTAGACGTGTACATTTTTTATATTCTTTAAAATTAACAGAACTATACGATGAAATAAACATAATATGTTATTTTTTCTAAATAAATTGTGGCTTATTATTTCCCCTTTTCCCAGAAAATTTAATTGGAGAAATCTACTTTTTTTCCATTCTGTATTAGTGCTGTATACGATGAAAGCTCTTGGAACTGTATTGCAGTTGTTAACAGGGGGAAAAAAACCCTTGAATTCATCAAGTCTCACGTTCAGAGTAGGCTTTAGAAATTAGACACAACTATGCAATATTATGGTAATTCTCTTTTAGATATTTTTCAAATTCTTTTTTAAATCCTTGTAAGATGAAGTACTTTTTTTTTTTTTCCTTACAAACATTTTCCAGACACTTCCAAGTGAAATAACTAAATTGTTCCATTTTTTAAAAGAGTATCGCTCTTGTATTGGCAGCAAACTGTTTCAGAAAAAGACTGCTATGCGTTTTTGCAGGATACAACTATGACATACAGTATTCTTAATGCTTTTTTGTTCAAAACATGAAAATACTAGCGTAAACCTAAGGCTTGGGCCCAGACTTGATTAATATGTATGTAGTCCGTTAGAAATTTTGTATTTTTGGACATTATCTGTAGATATGTATTTACGGTATTTCTGCTCTACTTTTCAGGCTTGTTTAATGTAATTAGTTAGGTTTTATTTTTCCTTAAAAGTGTATCAGTTAAATTTCAGTCAAAACATGCAATAGCTTAGAATATAAGTGGACTTACTGTTTTAAAATGCCATTAATACTGCTTTAAATTTCTATTTGGGATATATTGGAGCATATTTAACATTATTTCTACGGTACTAGGGTACACCAAATTTCTTTTTAGCAATGCAGTCAAGTAATAGAGGTGAGCTTCTGTTCCTTTTGAAGGTATGAATCATCATGGAATAGAAGTATATTCTGCAGAATGTATGGTTCTACAGTACTTCAGCGGTATTTTCTGCAAGTGTTTTAGCAGCAGCATTAGTTGGTTTCATTTTGGTTTTTTTTAAAATTGTTATTTTATTCTGTAGTCCTTTCTTACATGTTGCTTATTGCCTCTTTGAAGCATAAATAATGTCCCTCCAGCCTGTGAAAATACTTGTTCTCCTTTAAAAAGTATACTTAAAATAGCTGCACGAGACTCATTCATAATTTTTTAAATTATTTGAATAACTGATAAGCTTAAGGTATTCTAAGTTCATGTGAATGTCTCCCTTCCCCCCAAATCTTTATAAAACCAGTCTGAATAAATCTTATAGATATATCTAAGTCATAACATTTTACAAAGGAAAATCTAACAAGAAATGACCCTGTAACATTGTTAGTTATCATTCTGTGAGGCAACAACGAGCTAATCATGTGATTCTTTCCTGTTAAACAGATAAATAATTCTGCTTAGATACAGAAAAGCATTTTTGTGTTTAGATAGTTGTCTCGGTAATATAAGTTATTCTATGCAATAGTATATGCAGATAGGAATTTTATCAAATATTTTATCCCTTGATATTTCTCTGGGTATATTATCTGTACCATTATACTGGGAAAAAGACTTAGCAACACTTTATTCAGTATGTCTTTATAGATGTATCACAAAATGTCACTTATTGCTATAGAAATCCTGGATAAGACAGAGCGGCTACACGAGTTAAAAGAAATTGTGAAGAAATTCCACCCAGTGAACTATGATGTCTTCAGATATGTAATAACACATCTAAACAGGTTTAGTATTTTTCTACTAAAATTTTGTTTGTTGTAACAATTGCAAAACAGATTGTGTTAGTAACAATGAATTGACTACTAGAATTGAAAATTTCATGCTGTATTGCTCATCTGTTAGTATAAATGTGGAAAATGAAACTAGAAGTTAGAGGTTGATTAGAAAAGGTTTGTATGTTCTGTTGAGGTATAAATGTCTGGCATCATCGCTACTATAAAGTTATAAGAACGATTGGTGTACATAACAAAAAAGCTTGAAAGAGTTAACTATGCACCAGTTACCAGCTACAGATATCTCATGCTGTATTGCTCATCTGTTAGTATAAATGTGGAAAATGAAACTAGAAGTTAGAGGTTGATTAGAAAAGGTTTGTATGTTCTGTTGAGGTATAAATGTCTGGCATCATCGCTACTATAAAGTTATAAGAACGATTGGTGTACATAACAAAAAAGCTTGAAAGAGTTAACTATGCACCAGTTACCAGCTACAGATATCTTTTTTTTTTTTTTTTTTTTTTTTTTTCCCCCCTCTCTCCTCAGGAAGTAGTTATTAAAATTATAGACGAATATAGGTTTTAATGGACCTGAAAGTCATTTGGCCTAAACCCACCTCTTAAAGCAGGGCTAACTTCAATCAGAATCTAAAATGTAACACCCAAAAACCCTGCTGAATAAGTAAAATGTAGAACAAAGCTATAAGTAACAGTAAATCGGTTACGCTTGCTTCTTAAATCTTGCCTCTTGCATGGAATGTAATGGTTTTCTCTTTAAAAATTATTTCTCTATTTACTAAAATACTCTGATATTAGTAGATGTATACTACCTCATAATCTGACCCTTTATGTGCACAGGTGTACAATATTCAGTCATAAAAAACAGGAAGAAAAAGACCAGCTTACTCACGTTTCTTTTTCAGCTAAAGTGGGATTATTCTCTGAAATCCACTGAATCAGATTAACTACATTATTAAAAAATAGAATAAATGTTGCCAAAGCTAAAATAACTTTTTTTTTTAAACAAAAAACACTGTTATCCAGTAATCTGTCACTTAACAATTAGCTTATGATTTTTTTTCTGCATTTTCAGACAGAATCACAGAATTGTTGAGGTTGTAAAGAGCCTTTGGAGATTTAGTCCAACCCCATTGCTTCAGCGGAGTCAACTAGAACAGATTGCCCAGGACTGGGTTTTCAGTATCTCAAAGGAGGGAGACTCCACAGTCACTCTGGGCAACCTGTGCTAGTGCTCAGTCACCCTCACAGTAAAAAAAAAAGGTTTTCTTATGCTCAGAAAGAATTTCCTGTGTGTGTTTGTGCCTGTTGCTTTTTGTCCTGTGACTGGTAACCACTCGGAAGAGTCTCAATCCATCTTCTTCACACCCTCCTATTGGATATTTACAGCTAATGATAAGACTTCCCCTAAGCTTTTTCCAGGCAGCAGTCCCAACTTTCTCAGCCATTCCTCATGTGTGAGAGATCCTCAGACTCTTAATGATCTTTGCGTCCCTTCACTGGGCTTGCTCCAGTATGTCCATGTGTCTGTTGTGCTGGGCCCCGTACTCCAGATGTGGCCTTTGCAGTGCTGAGTAGAGGGGAAAGATCACCTCCCTAGACCTGCTGCCAGGACTCCTAATGCAACCTAGGATGCCGCTGGCCGCCTTTGCCACAGGGGCGCATTGCTGGCTCATGTTCAATTGGTTGTCCACGAGGACTTTCAGGTCCTTCTCTGCAATGGTGCTTTCCAGCCAGACAATTTTGTATATATACAGCAATAAACTTTTCTTGACATTTAAGTTGTTAAATTGGTCCGGACTAGTGCGTGAGTTTGTGGTTTTGCAGGTATTTGTAACGATCTAACTGGGCATCTAATATGGGAGCAGAGATGAGACCTTTTAACTTCCCTATTTAATCAACAGAGAGGATGTAGGTGCTCTCTATTGCAGTCTGGAAGGAGTCTTCTCTTTTCACTGAACGTATGAGAAACTTTAGAATTTAGGCCCCTACTTTTACACTTCTCTCCATCACAAATATAACTTGCTAAAGGTTTATAGAGTTATTCATATTCCTTTGCAGGGAAATGGATTAATTTTTCCATCGCAGTGTTGCCAAATAAAAATTCAGCCCTAAAATAGATAAAATCATATCAATGGATATAATTATTCCATGCATTTACATATTACAAATTGCAAGATGTACGTGCATGTATCTGAAGTAGAACAAAACTTTTCAAAACAATTATTAGTTACCTGAAATGTGTCAATAGTTCTTAATGGACCTGATAGAAATTTTCGTGTCATTGAATTTAGTGGAAGAGTGGCAATCTCTGAATTGTCAGAAGTCTTCGGCTGGTCATCTATTTGCATAACACAGCTGAATGTACAGTGTCAAGTACCTGGACTGCTGCAAGTAAAAGAACTAAATATAATTTTAAAAAATCCTGAATAGGTTTTAATGCTTGCATATCTACAGACAAATGAAATATATTAATCACAGAACTTATTGGAGAACGTTAAGTGCTGTACACTAGCCTTTGCTCTCCAGTCCACTCTCTTTTAATGATGACTGATTTACATTGTGGGTCACTGGTAACAAAGTTTTCTGAAGTAAGAAAGGCTGTCATTTTTTTTCTCTCATTTGCAGTGTCAGGTAGTTGCATTCCATTGAATAAGAAAACTTCTTGAGCATAAGCAATTGCATATATGTAGGGGTAAATACAGGTGGATACAGGATCTTAAAAGGAACTTATAACTTAATTCTTTACAGTTTCTATATATTTTTTTTAAGATACTAATTTGTGGCAAATTACTGCTAGCATATAATTAAAATGGAAATGTTTGTCAAATGAATTGTTCATTAAATGAGGTAAAACATTTTTCTACACACTGGAAGAGTTCTCTCCTCATCACAAACTGATGTTTTAAAGCTTAGTTTTTACATGATATGTCATTAGAGTAAGAAATGTGGTATTGTATTGTTAATAGTGGCTGGTGACTGATACTATTTTGGTGTGTCCACAAGCATAAGACTTGGTTATTGAAACAAAAAATACAAGTATTATTCAGATGAGTTTGCTATTGAAATATGAGACACCAATAACCATGGGAATGTAATAAATGGCAACAGTGAGGGTTTTTTTTTCTTTAGTGTGATAAGCACCTTTCAGTGCATATTAGCTGTCTAATTGTGGTTGATTAACTGTGAGCAGAAGTGAGTTTTAAAGATGGAGTTGAATCAGGACAGTGTTGGATTGACTTTGGATTGGCTTTTTTGATACTGGTTGTGTTTTATGTTTGTTCTTGATAATGACTCCCTTTATACATAAGGGCTAATAAGGCATAATATGCTTCTGAAGTCTGGCGAAAACATAGGTGTATAGCTTTTAAAGTCTGATCATAGAGCAGGTTTACAGCCTGAAGTTCCTGAAGAGTTTGCATTGGAGGAAGGTGGCAGGATCAAGAGAAACAGATTCTTCATTTTTCATTTTGAATGAACGTAAAAGAAGGTGAATAGACATTTGCTAAGCACTTAGAAGAAGTTTCTGAAGTAGTTTGTGAAAGTTTGGTAGGAGATGGCATACAGGTTGGTGGGTTTTTGTTTATGCTTAGAAAGGACAGAGGTAAAGTTTAAACACAGGAGAGAATAAAGTTGATTGTTCATTATGTTTAATCTTGTGAGCTGCAACCGGGAAAAGAGGTGCAACACTCTTCCCCTTTTCTCACTTCTAGCCATGGGTTCCCACTGCTTCATTTGTTGGATTTAATGATTATGCAGCTGCAGCGTGTTTTAAAGGAAAGCAGAAATAGGGGAAGTCTAATTTTCTGCAGAATGTACTAGCTTATCTCAGAGACCCTGTGGCCACCCTGTAGTCTGATGCCAGAAAGTTGGTGGAGAGGGAGAAGCGGGGAAGAATGAAATTTCACCTCTTGTCCACAGCAGCAGCAGTCTACAACTAGATCAGATTAAAGAAACAATATGAGAGAGACAGCAAGCAGTGGACTCATGACAAGGGGGAAAAAAAGGTGCATGAGAAGACCAAACACATAATCAAATCCTAGAGGTGCTTAAGGATGTTGGAGGGTATGTGTTTTAGCCTATGCAACTGAAGAAGCCCCTTGAAAGATGTTAAATTTGGAGCAAAAATGACAGGAAAAAAGCAGTCTGCAAAATAGATGATCTGGCTTTTATTTCAGTTTTATTACATAGCAGGTGCTATTTTTTCTCCAGCTTTATAACTTAACTTGTAGTTTGTTCTCTAATGAAACACCATTATAGAGTTTGAAATCCCTTTTGGTGTTTTTCATTGTACTCATTTTAAGGAAAAGGTACAGGCAGTTCTGATTGAAAACTCTGACAGATTCATTGTCCCATCACAGTGTCTTACACTTAAATTTTATTTAATTCTTGGTGACAGTCTCACTTGTCGTTCTATCTCTAGAGTGTAGTTTAGGAGGAATTTATACGCAGAAGAATTTGATATAGGAAAAAAAAGTCTAATAAAAATGCTAAGCAAAATATAAGCTTACATTTATATTTTCGGGGTTTTTTAATCCTTAAATTAAGTTAATAGGAAAGAGACTATGAATATTACTGTCACTCAGTAATAGTGTCCAAATATCCTTTGGACCAAACTTACTCAAAACAGATTGAGAGGCAGTATTTGTGTACCCTCACACTACTTGGAATAAGTAATGTGCATGCTGGAATGGGAGTCTGCCCTTTATAGTTACCACTATACATGCATTGTAAATGAGTGAAAATATTTTCTTATAGCATTAATTCTAGTGTTTACTATGGTTTTCACAGCTTTTGAATCGATGGACTACAGCCAGCTGTCAGAAATTCTTGCAGTCTGCTCTTGTTAATCATCAAAACTGTAACTGACAAGTTGTTGAAGTTTTATTTTCCATCTATTTCTGCAGGACAACTGTAGCTCAGTTACCTTTATGCTGTCTACTGTAATACAGGAATTGCATGTTCCCAGCTGAGTATCTTAGGTGGTTGTCAGATTCATTAACACACAATTTTTCATGTATCTCTTACTAATTACTTCTAGATAAAATTGTGATGTTACTTTAGAATGCAGAATATTTTTGGAAAACAAAATATCCTGGCTCTTTCTAGCCTATTACCATGAAAAACAGTGCGCTTTTCTGAGGAGACATTTAATGTAGATGATAAGTTTGGTAACAAGATTGGTTTTTTTTTTTTTTTTTTTTTTTTTGGTTTGGTTTTGGTTTTGGGTTTTTTTTTTTTTTTTTTTTTTAATTTGCTTGTAATAGTATTGTAATAATGAATTTAGATCATAAGTGAAGAGCGTGTTTCAGGCCCTGCTTAAAAGCAGGAAACTTCTAGGAAGGGAAACCCAGCTGGAAACCTGTGCGTTATACATTGGAAAATAAAACAAAATTAATGTGTGTTGATATTAGTGAAATTTCCACTGATTATGTTCTTTATGGCTTGGCCAAGTTCTGTTGCTGGCCAATATGAAAAAAACCTGCAGAGATGTGCTTTAATCAACACTTGATTTTTTTGGTTTTGTGTTTATTTTTAAAGTGTGATGCCTTTTTCTTTGAGTGCCTTAGATGTTAGTTAATATCTGACTGTCCTGCGGTAGGAAGCCATTTCTGTCATTTTTCTTCTAGACATTTTAATGGAAGAAATTCTAATTTTACGAAGTCCTGTAGCTGGTTGAGAAATCTAAAGTTTGTTTATTATTGTCACTTCAAAATGTTGGTGGAATGTTGAATTTTTTTTCGATTAAAAGCTTAATCAGATTTATATTTGTTAGCTCTCCAAATCTGGAAAAGTCATGGTTTCTAAATTTTCTTCTGCATAATTGCTTAAAGAAAGGAAGAACGATTGTTTTAATGGATAGCTGGAGGAAAGTAACAAAAATCTTGGGATTGTTTAATAATAATGCGTACAGTTAGAGAGCTATGAAAATATTTTTAGTTGATTGCATACCGGATTGAATTCATTCTGTGCATGTCGTTCTCATTTCAGGGTTAGTCAGCAATATAAAACCAACTTTATGACTGCGGATAACTTATCGATTTGTTTCTGGCCTACTTTGATGAGACCTGATTTTGAAAACAGAGAGTTTCTTTCTACCACCAAAATCCACCAGTCGGTTATAGAGACCTTCATTCAACAGTGTCAGTTTTTCTTTTACAATGGAGAGATCGTAGAAGCACCTAACCCAGTGGCATGTCAGCCACCGCCTTCCAACGCAGTGCAGATGGTGGAACCAATGGTACCTCTTCAGTTACCACCACCGCTGCAGCCTCAGCTGATACAGTCACAATTACCAGCAGACCCTCTTGGTATTATATAAATAGAAGATGATTGCAGGCAGCCTGGCACTGGACAGTAGAGTCAAGCTATAGACATGCATGTTTCAGGATACAGTAATGTACTTCATATTTATGAAAAATAATTCCCATCCAGCTGATTGGACATCTTTTTGTTATATCCCGTACTGTGTTCCTCATTTGTACACACTGCAGATAAAAACTATGTGGTAAGCATGACTGGAGAGGTTTAATTTTTAAAAGCAAAAATAGCTATAAAGTACAAAGCTGCTGCTGCATGATACCTTATTGCAATCACTATATCATTCCTGTGGCGGTTTGTCACAATATATTGTGAATAAAATTTTTCTATAGAAATTTAATGATTTAAAAAATTACATTTATGAAACATTCAATGCTTACAGCCTGCTTTATGGCTGTTTTTGTTATTTAACATGCTATTTTTGGCAATTTTATTCACATTCAAGCATTCTGTGTAAACAACTAAAGCCCAGCTATAGTTTATTTTGTAATCTCCTGGCTACTTATGTGACGGTATGCTTAGGATGGTTTATGGAAGAATGCAAAATGCACTGTTGAGAATTTTACAATGCCTCACCATCCATCTTTACTTGTAAGTAAACCTGTGGACAGTTTGTTAAGGGTGGGTGAACTTGCTTATTATTTCTTACAGCACAATACCAAGGACATGCTTATTGTAAAAGTGAGTTTCAAATATTGTACAAAAATTTTGATGTTGCCTACTTATTTCTTTATGTTCCATTACTGAACTAAACATTTTGTAAAACTGTTAATTCTGTAAACAGCTGCATGTTTAAAAGATCATTGATGGTCTTGTAAACTTAATCTAATATATTTTAGATATTTTAATTTTTTCCCACTTGGGAATACATGTAGTGTTTAGAAAATAGTTCATGACATTTTCATATAAGGTTATATAACTTTTCATACATAAACATTACTTTTGTTGTAGTAAAATTCTCTAAACCAAACAATGTTTTAATCTAGGACTTCAATTAATCTATTCTTTAAATCTATTTTTATGTGACCCTTTAAAGATATACAAAAATGCATTGCTAATACATAGCAATAAATACTTTGGGTACTGACAATTAACCTCTTTGGAGTGTGTATATATAAAATCACATAAACTTGTATTCATATTTTTTTCCTGTGGTATGTTGTACTAAAAATTCAAATGACTGATTTTTTTTTCCTTCTTGTTTTTTTTTGCACCATATTTTTAAATTATCTCTTTTTTTCCATTTATTTTCCTTTTACATTGGTACCAATTTTGCTGTAAAAGAATGCTGCTTAATTTAAACAAATCTTTTGGTTAAATATTTTGTTAGTGGTAAAAAATTTAGAAGGTTACAAATTGTAGCAAAGGGGAGACCATAGATAAACACTACCTGTGAGACTTTTCATAGCAGCTTTTTTCTTTCATGCTCAAAATATACTTTTTTAGGTCTGCAAAGAAAACAACAGTTTTGGCTCATTCAGCTGCTAGAATGTTTTGTGTAGTTTAAAAAAAAAAAAAAGCTTTATGATGGTCACTGTTGTAATCTTCACTTATAACAAGATTTAAGATCGTCTTGTATGTATTATAGTAAATAGATGATTTTGAGAATTAAGGCTTTTAAGAGTTTGATTTGCTCCATTTTCCCAAAATAAAAATTGCCTTTCCCACTTATGTCCTAGGTATTGTACTTCTAATTATGACTTGGATTATCATTCTAGATTACTATGATACCATAAACCTGGCTGCTGTTTGAAGTACATGTATATTATAAATTATCTTGATATTGTGTTATATTCTTGCAAGTAATTATCTTTTCTAAGAAAACATAAACAAAAAAGAAAAGTCAACCCTATTCCTATTGCAAAGCACACAGGAATTAATAGTACAATAAAGTCTGTCCTGTAAATTGTAGTATTCTTAACTTGTTCTACTTTACCTGTTGTCTATATAGCTTTTATTTATAGTTGTCAGTCTAATCTTGGCATGTTTAGCAAAGAAAATGAAACTTCAAGAGTTTTATAAATATTTCTAGGTTGCTAAAGAATTTATTTTTCTACTGTATATGGTATAGACAAAGCATCACCTGTACAGGAAACAAGTCTATTTCTAATAGAAGTAAGCTTAAAAATAAATGCCAGTCATATCCATATTTAAAAGTTCTATCTATAAAGTATCTCCAGTCTTTGTAATGTGAATTACATTTTAAACTTTCTACAAATTCCAAGTTGTTTGCCATAATATTTAACTAATCTTTGAATACCAATTTTTAGAATAATTTACATTCCATTTCATGACGAACTCTCATGTTGAACTTGTGATCAGAAGCATTTGCAGTATCATTTATTTCTCGTGTATGATGTTATGGCTAAGTCACTTCACGATTTTTAAAAATCTTCACACTTACATTTGGCCAAATATGAAAGTGTTACTACATTTACTGGATAAAACATAAAAAGAGAAATAATAAGAAAGCATGGCATGTGGTGCTTGATTGTCACATGGAAGAGTCCCTGCATACTGTTTGCATTATAGAAGTGTTACATGCAGGAATGTGGAGATGTGTGTATGTGTAAGATACAGACTTTGATCTTTTTTACGTGCTTGTGTGTTTATGTACACAAGCACATGTGCACAGACTTGCATGCACATACCCCCACATAGTAACGTTTTTAAAAGATACTAGGAAATTATACCACCGTTATTAAAGATTTATAATAAAGCTTTCTCTATTATTATTTTTATTAGTGCTATAAAATGAGGAAGCATGTCATTATATACGAATTCCTCATATGTTGGCTCATGTAGTCCCTTCTAGTTTTAATGAAAATCCAAACAATAATAACTCTATTTTTTAATGTGAGCATTTTTACAGTAATATCTATCTTGATAAAGATACAAATGTATATTATTTTTGGTTGAGCATCTCAGTGACACTTTATGGAGTAGTTTGTCTTTTTTATGTAATATTGGTATAGACATACTGCAGTGCATTGTCTTTCAATGTTTTAGCAATTTTAAAATCCCAGACCTGAGATACAAAAGTGCCATTTTAAGTAATGCTTAACAGGTTATTTCAAAATTCCTTACTCTCCATGATATTGTGGAATTTTTAACATATATAGTGTAAATAGATCACAGATGTCAGCTTAAGTGAAAAGAAACTTTTTTGTTGTTGTATGTTTTCTCCATTATTTGAATCCTGGTTGCTAGGAAATTATAGATATGTTTATTTTTAGTTGCTGGAGTTTAGCTTCCAATATTTATGAAAAATATAGAAAAACTATCAATTGGAGATTAAAAAAATTGGCCTTAGCTTACGTGCTTATTTCAGGTTTTTTCAGTAATTGTGATGCTGTTTGTCAACTGAAAAAATTACACATATATAAAAAAAATTTTAAAGTAAAAATTTTGTTCTTTGTTTATAATGTAATCTTTTGTTGCTACATCAGCAGAATACTGCAGTGAATTAAATATCAGTGAAGCTTATTCTGTATAAAAGATGCAACAAATAAAATACTAAGATGCTTACTGTGTATAATGTTCAGTTTAGTTGCCTACTAAATTTTTAGAGGCAAAAGCACCCTATCTTTCACATATACAGAGATGAAATTTGGCGGTAAATCTTGCTAAACTGAGTGCACCAAGTGTTTAAGGCATTCTCGGGGGGGGAGGGTGTCTCTCTCCTTGCATTTGATTCGTCTTTTAAGCTGCTGAATTTTGGAAGCGATTCTCACACTGGTGGAGACTCTTCTGTAGGTAATGCACCCCCCCAAGATGGATACGTGCATACACGAGGGAACAAACCTCAAAAGTGACAGAATGTAAGATGTTCTATTTAACTGTGCAGTGCATGTGAAATTCTGTGGCTCATGTGACCTCTTCCATTTTTCACCTCATTGAGCTGCTCAGCAAGAAAGGCTGTGATTATGGAAATCAGTTTTTCAGATTCCTACCGTGCTAAAGGAATGGGTCTCTTAAAATTATTTTTCCTACAGAATTTTTAAACCTGAAATAAAAACTGTGGGTTTTGAGGTCAGCTTTAAATTTTCAAAATTGTGCATTATTGGTCATAATTCTGCTAACTATATGGGATAAATCCAGCTTCGATACTAGTACTGCTTTTAGGTCTTGTGCGTGCAACATCTATACTTAGTTTGTTTCTTCAGAGTTTCTTCTTTCATCTTGAGTTATATGGCCGGTGCAGAAATAACTGCAAAAACAGGTTCAGGTTTTATTCTGTATCTTAACACTGTCAGATACTGGAGTGTTTTAATCTCAGATAGGATGCGTCTTACCTCTAATTTACTCAGTGTGCAAATCTCAGGTTTTTAGATTGCTGTATCATAAACCCATCTCTACTGAATCTGAAGCGTAATGCAGCGTTCAGGCTGTACAGCAGACCACAAGTTTCTGAGGAATAGCTGTCCTAGAGAACCAAGGTGTAACATTCGTGCTCACTTGTGTCAGATTCGATCCTTCAACTAATTCATAGTTTCCATGGAATCAGAAGGGATGAATGCAATCTGTCATCATGGCTAGTGAAAGCGAACACTTCCTTCCTTCCTTATTGACAAATTCATTCCCAAGTGTGTAGATGGTGCGTGCCACGGCTGTTGCCCATATGTTTCTCATCTTCCTTCTAAAATACGATGCACGTGTGTTTAGACCTGGTATTTTTGTTGCTGAATTGAGTGTCATTGATGCCTAGCCAACATTCTGGTGCTTTTATATTACAGAATAGGGTTTAACATACCTGATTACATTAATAATAATTTGTCTGTCACTGGTTTTTATTTGGTGTGATTTAGAAAATACAGAGCATTAAGTAATTTCACTGAATGCCTACAGTGCAGTAACTGTGGTTTTCAGTCTTAGAGTGTGATAAAAATGAAAGGCCGTTGTTGCTTCTACTCACAAGCTGTTTGAGTTAAGAAAAGACGGGAAGGCAGTCTCGTGGTGGTATTTCCAGCCATGACTGCCTGTCAGTGCTTCAGGGGTGGATATGCCGACTTGAAGAGTACCTCTGGCTGCTTACATGGCTGACCGATTTATATAGTGTAGCTGTAGCTTGTATTTTCCCCAGAATGATGGTATCATAATCTATCTGTTCTTAAAGATTTTTCTGCTTCACGACTGAAGAAGTGAAGGGAAGGCAGAGTAGCCATTCTCACCTCTTCTTGCAGTTCTCTCAGCTTTGCCCCTGATGAGAATTGTCAGGGGGTCCTAAATTGCTCTTGCAGGGCTCTACTGAATTAGAAGTAGAAAATGTACAGAGTGGTAAGCAATGAGTTGGAGTTCTTTGGTTAACTGACACTGAGTGTGATGAATTGGTGAAGCATCTGGAAAAAAGGAAGTTGCACTGTTAAATTACAGGTGGTGTGGTCTCCCCTTGAAGGCTCCACCCTCGGTACTTGACAGCGCGACCTGAGTTTCTGCAGTGGCTGCCCTTACTTGGTCATATTGACCCCGTGCAAGCTGGGAATGAAGAAGAGATCAAGAAACCTACCTCAAAAAAAATCATGTACTTTGAACAGCTGCCTCTTAAAACACTTAGATAAAATTATTAAACATAGAATGTAGGAAAAAAAAAAAAAAAGAAACGTCCGTGGTTCATTATTGAAATATGTATGTATATACACATATGCTTTTTCTAGCTTAGTAAAGAAGTAGATGTTGATATAGTGGTTCTAACATAGTGGCCAGCCTGCTACAAATAAATATTGCTTACAATTCAGGTGTTAAGTTTTGAAAACTGAATGTAAACAGATGTATCTAATTTTGATATCCTATCTGTGAGTTGTCTAGCTCGAACATTGGTTTAATTTTGTTATGCTGTGTGGTCACACATATAAGCCTGATTTTATGTCCTTTATTTAACTGTAATAGAGTTGAAAAGTTTATTCATCTTCACAGGTGACTGCTTTCTTTAGTCTGTCCTCTCTTAGTATTTCTTTTTGACTTAATTAGTCTTAAAGTCAAAACTTACAATTTATAACATGGTCATAAAGATACTGTAAAACATACTGGGTCCCACATAAAGTTTATAAAAGTCTGTCAGTACTCTTGTCCCCTTTTGTCTGCACTTGTCTGCGTGCACTCATTTGCTATTTTGGGTATGCAGGGCCTGGGGCAATGTGGCACTTGGCCGTGTTTGGAGATTCTGATCGCCAGGAGGTGATATTGGGGCGATCCTTTTCCGTATCCTAACCTGCTTTTAACGAAAGAGTGCTGGAAAAAGCAGCTAGGAGACCGTTTGAAAATGGTGAAGGATAAATATTACGAGTTCTCAGTGTATCGGTGAGGTGAAGATGCTCGCCTCAACCGGGCTTCATTTCTGTGTGAGAGGTTTGTGTGTAGGGAGCTTTCGAGCCTTCCGCTGACAGTGTAAAGGGAGGAGGAGATGGGAAAGCTCTTCCCTATACCCTTCTCTCTAACCTCAAGGGCCAGTGGTGGTGTTGCAGAGTTTGGGCCACCAAGTCCTCTATGTCTGATGCGGAGTTTCGGCCCCACAGAAAGAGGGTCATGGATTGACATGTGGCCTTCAACCAAAATTGGTGCAGCTAAACAGTGGGGACACACATACCAATCTTAAATTGTTCCTCAGCGTCCCGGTTCCCGAGGCATGCTGCCCTGAGGGTCTTTTGTTGTTAGTTTTTTTAGTATACAATAGTTTTGACTGGTATTACCACCACGATCTGCAGTTCTGAGTTGTCTTTGCATCTCCTCATAGCTGGCCAGATTTATTTACCAGGATACAAAGCTTCTCTGACCTGAAATATTTCTGGGGAAGTAGAAACCAAGCTGTGTTCTCCTTGGGCTTGTACATGGTGCTGTCAGGTATTGTTTTGTTTACTACTTCTTTTCAAAGAAGGTCGTTTCTAAGAAAAATGAGAGGGCTGAACTGTTATCTGTCAGAGGTGTGTCTTTGTAGCGTGATACTGACACCATGAAGTAAATGCCCAGCTCATTCAATGAAGACATGGAAGTAGTGTATGAAGACGTGAATCCTGCTGGAATCATTTAGAAGACTGTCCGTGGCAGAGTAAGTGAATTGTGGAACAAATTATCCTCTCAATCATGGCTATAGTTCTTCTTTTGAAGGAAACTTGATACTTTTTTTTTTTTTTCCTCCC